GAAGGAAGGAAGGAAGGAAGGAAGGAAGGAAGGAAGGAAGGAAGGAAGGAAGTCCACAGAAGTGTGGGTAAGTGTTTCTATCACTACTAGTTTATCTACCTGTAGGACCCTCAAAGGGATCTGCAAAATGTGATGCAGCCTCTCCCCACATATCTCCCCAACCTCTAGAATACCTACGGTCCATGGATGAGCAAAACAAGCCTCCTTGTATTTCAACACTCATCTACTCACAGGGAGTAGCATAAAGGTTAATAAAGGGGAGGAACATAGTCCTCCCTGGCATCTCCTCTGCCTCCATATAGAAAATAAATATTTTTTCCCAGCTAGTCACTTTTTTTTTGGTAGGCTTAGTTGTAAGACTGGATTCTCACTCTGAACCCTTGTTAGGGAAGAAATCAAAGGACCATTACTTTTCCACAAATTCTTTTTGTTCATATTTAAACCACGCCTTCAGGGGAGTCTGCAGAGGGGTCATACAAGTCAAGAGGGTGGCTACCACTACATGATTGAAGCCTCACCATCTTGACTTTCTTTATTCATGCCCCCCATGGATGCCCCTGCACACTTAAAGATTTACAGGCATGCATAGTTTAACTCAGTGTTTCTCAACCTTGGCAACTTTCAGATGTGTGGACCTGAACTCCCAGAATTCCCCAGCCAGGAGGGAATAGAAGTTTAACTTCACACATCTTAAAATTGCCAGGGTTGAGAAACATTGGTTTAAATAAAGGGATAGACTTTAACTTCTGGAATTCCTCAGGCAGAATGGCTGAAAAATCTGGGGCTTGAAGGCACCATCTGGAGATGGTTGTAGAAGACCCAACTGTGAAACCAGTGCAGAATCCAACCATATGGATTCTAACCACCTAGACTCTCAGAGAAGTAAGTCCAGGGGTAAAGATGCCCTTAAACTGCTCTTTGTCACAATAGACACCCAGAGAGGTCTTCTCTCAGTTTCTTGTTTCCATCTAGTGTCAGGTCCTTGGTACCAAGCCAGAGAGAAGAACTATCCAGACTTTTGACCAGGACTGAACAATTTGTGCCTCTGGAGCCACGCACAATCTCACAAAGTTCTTGTGACCCCTCAATCCCCCTTCATTTTTGCCACTGAATTCTGACTGCACAATTCCCAAAAATCAGTGGTGGTGGTGATTTTTTCATGGAATACCCAGTGCAACAGAATACCCTAAAACAGACAGAAGCGTTTCAAAACAAAATCAGTAACTTTCCCTCTCAAATGGGGGTAGGGAGAAAAATCCCCTCCATGGACCCAGCTCCATCCACTTCACCCCACCCAGTCTGCCATGACATCTGGGGGTGGGGGACGGTGCATCAGAAAGGCCGAGATGACCGCTGCAACTGCACAAGCAAAGCCCTAGCTCTTCTTTACATGCAGTGCATGCCACACATGGGGGGGAAATGGGGTTTCAAACGAATGGTCATGGCCACCGTTGTGACTTCTTTGGCCCTGCCCCATGGACACCCCTGCCACTCTGCAACTATAGACAAAGGAGACAAAGACGGCCTCCTTCTTCGCTATCCAAAGTCTGTCCAATCCTGCCTGAAGCTGAGGACCCGCCCTGCGTTTTCCATGAGCGCTTACCTTATCACAAAGCTATGGGTGTCAATTTCCTTGCCGCAGCCGCTGTTCAGCAGGATGCCCGAATTCCCCACAATGGCACAGGTCCGATAGTGCTTGCCCTTCAGTGGAGATGTCCTCGGTAGGAGGGCATAGAGATTCTGGGAAATGTTCATGGTGCTGTCCCTGTCAAACACATAGTGGATGATGTCTCCTGGTTTCAGAGTCCCCTTGAGCACCGAGATGTCTTTCTCAGCATCCAAAAACTTCAGGATGTGTTTTCTTTCAGAAGAAGAGGAAGATAAAAACACAGAATCATCATGCTTCTGGAATACTGCCTAGTCCTTCCTTCCTTCCTTCCTTCCTTCCTTCCTTCCTTCCTTCCTTCCTTCCTTCCTTCCATCCATCCATTTCCCCCATCTCTCTGTTTCCTTCCTTCCTTCACTTTGCATACATGCAGACTTGGCTTTTGATGTTATTTCCCACCTTTTTTCTTCTATTGGAAAATGTATTTTGGTAGCTGGGGAATCCTTTTTTTTTAGATTTTGTATCCTGCCTTTCTTACTCAAGGTGGCAAACATACCTAAAACTCCTTCCTTGTTCTATTTTCCTCACAACAACAACTCTGTGAGTGAGTTGGGCTGAGAGAGTGGGACTGGCCGAAAGTCACCCAGCTGGCTTTCATGAATGAATGAATGAATGAAAATGAATTTCATTTATTTTGAAAGTTGCTACAAGAATTTTGAAATGACAATTTCGCCTGGAATAACAAGGCGAAGAACGAAGCTAACATTAACCGCCATAAGTCTATCACAGATAGCACCCAGATCAGATCCCAGATTAGTAAGCAAAGCTGGGGAGGGGGTGGGGGGACCAAAAAAGACAGCAAAAACGAAAACAGAAGAGGGCAATGGAAAATTATGTCTGTGTTCCTGACAAACTACACGGATGTGTATTCACCAGGCATTCAGCTCAACTCAGAGGCCAGTTCTGTAATGCTAATACTTCTTGGCATGCATAATCTATGTGCACTTCATGCAAAAATCATTTCACTAGCTCTGACAACAAGGTTTCCTAGCCTGGAGCCATCCAACTGTTTGAGGGACTCCAACTTATCCAAACAGGAGGGTACAAAAAGAAGAAAGTAATCCATTTGCACTTGCAGATGGTTTCTTTTTATATATTCCAAGATATGAATCTTAGGGACTATGTGAATATAAACATTTCTCCTCTTTTGAGAGCAGGGGGAAGACTGAGAAATCTCTGCTCTGGAGTTCTGGAAATTGGAGCCTTAAGGGGTGGGGGTGGAGGTCCAAAAAGTCAAGATGGCAGCTACGTTTATGCTACAAGCACCAGGTTGGAGAAGGGGGATTTTGGCTTGGAAACTGAGCTCTCTGCTTTTTTAAAATAACTGCACCATATACTGGCTTTTCTCCAGGAGCTTTTCAAGCAATTTTATTCTGTTTGTTTTCAAAATCA